TGGCCACCTTACTGACAAAGAGAATGAAATGTGCTCGATTTTTAATAATTATTTTCTCTCAGTTTTTACACAGGAAGACACTAACAATATTCCAGTAATTAATTTTTATAGTGGGATAGAAGAAGATAAATTATGTAACATCACAGTCACTAGTGAAATGGTTGTGAAGCAGATAGACAGACTGAAGCAAAATAAGTCCCCGGGTCCTGATGAGGCTTTTTCAAGGGTTCTTAAGGAATGCAAAATGGAACTCTGTGAACCATTAACTAATATTTTTAATTTATCTCTTCAAACAGGTGTAGTGTCTGATATGTGGAAGATGGCTAATGTAATTCCTATTTTTAAAACAGGGGACAAGTCGTTACCGTCAAATTACCCCCCAATAAGCCTGACCTCAATTGTAGGCAAATTACTAGAGTCAATTATAGCTGAGATTATAAGAAGCCATCTCGATAAGCATAGCTTGATTAATGATACTCAGCATGGATTCACAAGAGGCCGGTCTTGTCTAACTAATTTATTAACTTTCTTCAGTAAAGCTTTTGAGACTGTTGACCACGATAAAGAATTTGATATTATTTACTTAGATTTTAGTAAGGCTTTTGATAGAGTTCCGCACCATAGACTGTTAAAGAAAGTGGCAGCTCATGGCATTGGGGAAAAGTGCTCTCGTGGATCGAGTCATGGCTCACTGACAGGAAGCAGAGAGTGTCCATAAATGGGGTTAAATCCGAGTGGGGATCTGTAACAAGTGGCGTTCCACAGGGATCAGTCTTGGGCCCATTGTTGTTTATAATATATATATCAATGATCTTGATGAGGGAATTACTAGTGATATGAGCAAATTCGCCGATGACACAAAGATAGGTAGGATAATTGATTCAAACGTAGATGTTATGGAACTTCAGGAGGATTTAAACAAACTCTATTCTTGGTCAGAAAAGTGGCAGATGCAGTTCAATGTAGATAAATGCAAGGTTCTGAAGCTTGGGAGTGCCCATAACCCTAGTACTTATAAGTTAAATGATGTAGAACTTAGCCATATAGATTGCGAAAAGGACTTGGGGGTTATGGTGAGCAGCAACCTTAAACCAAGACAGCAATGCCTAAGCGTACGTAATAAGGCAAATAGATTACTGGGATTTATATCAAGAAGTGTAAGCAACAGAAGTCCAGAGGTCATACTGCAGCTTTATACATCATTAGTAAGGCCTCACCTAGATTATGCAGCTCAGTTCTGGTCTCCATATTACAGAATGGACATAAATTCGTTAGAAAACATTCAGCGTAGGATGACTAAATTAATACATAGCATTAGAAATCTTCCTTATGAAGAAAGATTGAAGACTCTTAAGTTACATTCACTTGTTAGACGAAGAATGAGGGGAGACCTGATCGAAGTGTATAAGTGGAAGATAGGTATTAATAAAGGGGATATTAATAAAGTCTTGAGGATGTCTCTCCAAGAGAGAACCCGCAGTAATGGATTTAAATTAGATAAGTTTAGATTTAGAAAGGACATAGGAAAGTATTGGTTTGGAAATAGGGTAGTACCTGGAGAGAGAGTTTACCTGGAGAGAGTTCCGGGGTTCAACGCCCCCGCGGCCCGGTCTGTGACCAGGCCTCCTGGTGGATCAGAGCCTGATCAACAAGGCTGTTACTGCTGGCTGCACGCAAACCAACGTACGAGCCACAGCCCGGCTGGTCAGGAACCGACTTTAGGTGCTTGTCCAGTGCCAGCTTGAAGACTGCCAGGGGTCTGTTGGTAATCCCCCTTATGTATGCTGGGAGGCAGTTGAACAGTCTCGGGCCCCTGACACTTATTGTATGGTTTCTTAACGTGCTAGTGACACCCCTGCTTTTCATTGGGGGGATGTTGCATCGTCTGCCAAGTCTTTTGCTTACGTAGTGAGTGATTTTCGTTTGCAAGTTCGGTACTAGTCCCTCTAGGATTTTCCAGGTGTATATAATCATGTATCTCTCCCGCCTGCATTCCAGGGAATACAGGTTTAGGAACCTCAAGCGCTCCCAGTAATTGAGGTGTTTAATCTCCGTTATGGGCGCCGTGAAGGTTCTCTGTACATTTTTTAGGTCAGCAATTTCACCTGCCTTGAAAGGTGCTGTTAGTGTGCAGCAATATTCCAGCCTAGATAGAACAAGTGACCTGAAGAGTGTCATCATGAGTAGATGAGTGGAACAGTCTACCTAGTTGGGTTATTGAGGCTGGGACTTTGGGTAGTTTCAAATTTATGTTGGATAAGTACATGAGTGGGAGGGGTTGGGTTTGAGTGGGACTTTCACATCAGAGCTTATTTCTTGGGTGGCATTGAAAATTGGGTTGGGCAAATGTTTTGTTAGTGGGATGAATTGTAAAGGACCTGCCTAGTATGGGCCAACAGGCCTCCTGCAGTGTTCCTCCTTTCTTATGTTCTTATTATGCACCCCATACATAAGAACATAAGAAGGAACACTGAAACATGCCTACTGGCCTATGCAAGGCGGGTCCAATTCTCCCACCGGCTTAAGCCAATGCCTTGACCTAGTGAGGCCAGACACGTCACTTACGGGAGGAGCACGGCTTCAAATCTAGTAACACAAGCTAGTCAGGTCCAATTCACACCCACCCACCCACACCCACTCATATATTTATGGAACCGGTGGTCTGGTGGCTAAAACTCCCGCTTCACACACGGAGGGCCCGGGTTCGATTCCCGGTGGGTGGAAACATTTCGACACGTTTCCTTACACCTGTTGTCCTGTTCACCTAGCAGCAAATAGGTACCTGGGTGTTAGTCGACTGGTGTGGGTCGCATCCTGGGGGACAAGATTAAGGACCCCAATGGAAATAAGTTAGACAGTCCTCGATGACGCACTGACTTTCTTGGGTTATCCTGGGTGGCTAACCCTCCGGGGTTAAAAATCCGAACGAAATCTTATCTTATCTTATTTATGCAGACACGAATTAAGTCCGACACAGAAAAAGAAAGTTTAAGTGGTTATGCTTTATTTACAGTGGGTAAAGTCAGGGTATTTTTCCAGAATGATGGAAATATACCACTGTGGATAAAATAATTTGACATTTCACACACTACTGAATGTACAACAATGCATACAACCATATGACCTGTCTTTGTAATACTCACTTGTGCTTTATAGTAATCTGTTTACATTAAAGTTTTATCACTGATGTCATCATTGCTTAGTTCATCTTAAGTTAATTTTAAGCCAGCCCGTAATGCTATGCATAGTATAAGTGGCTTTGGCATGCTGCTCTTATCTGTATTTTTTGTACCTCTGTATGTGTGCTCAAATTTTTAAATAAATAAATAAATAAATAAATTGTAAACCGTACCCCCGGCCGGGATTGAACCCGCGGTCATAGAGTCTCAAAACTCCAGCCCGTCGCGTCGAGTCGTTTTGATGTATTGTCCCAGATTACGAATACAAAGTTTACTACCAATGTAAAACCATTGCATTTATTGCAACCACTGTATAAATGTATACAAGTATGTGAAATCCTATATAGAGAATAACTAACTAAATAGCTAAATAACGCTTATTTTATCTTATCTTAACCTAAGATGATTTATACATCGCTGTGGCAGTGAGGGTAAGTACTGTTACCTGTGGATTGTAAGTGGATGGGGGAGAGTGTGGAAGCAACTCTACCTGTGGATCCCTCATCTCACAGATATACATACATGACTGATTACTATACACACTATACTACTACTAGTGTCAATAATGTCTTATATGCCAACAACTGTTATCATTAATGCTCGATTGTTGTTATAGTGATTACCTGGGAAGGAAGAAAGGAGAATGATAGAGGGAGGGTTGGAGAATAAGTGAGGGAGGGACGGATGGGAGAAGGGATGAAGGGTGAGGGGGGTGGAAAGGTGGGTGAGAGGGATGAGAGTGGAGGGTGAGAGAGACGGGAGAGGAGAGAGGGAGGGATGATAGATGAGCGTGAGAGGGATGAGACGGAAGATGGCAGGGACGAGAGATGGGAGAGAAGGATGGTGAGAGGGTAAGCATGGGATGCTGAGGGGGCGTTGGTGAGAGGAAGAGGATGTTGAGGAAGAATAGGGGAGCATAAGAATAAATATATACAAGTATCTCAAATTCATCAGTGAAATACAACCACTATGCATCCTTCCTTAAATTCCTGACACATCTAAGCAGCATATCCATCTACCTCACTGCGATAGACTTTGACTAGGATAGACTTCTTGTCTCAGCACATGAAGCCTTGGACAACAGTATTGATATTTCAATCATTTTCGTCTTAGTCAATGGTTAATGTTAAGTTCATCAACAGGAACGTGTTTATTTGACCAAAATATATGCTAGTTAATTGAGTTTTTTGAATGACATTCAGAATGTTTTAAATATTACGTTTTTGTATGTATTAGAAGAGTTTTTCTCAAACAGGTCACCACGTGTTGTCCTGTTTTGATCATAAGTCAGTTACCTCATAAAATTCCATAGAGTTTTGTTCACTAATGATAATGATAAAAATAAATTTATAAAATGGAAAGCAGAAAGAAAGGCGTATCAGCAGGAGTATAAAGTGAAGTTTCTGTATAATACATCTTATAATGGCGGACTTATTCCTCAGATGGTGTAATATTGGCCCAACAAGAAGAGATAATTGTACGAAAATGCAAGAAACAGAGGATGTTTTGGAGGATGGGAATCAATAGGTATGTGTGAGTGTGTTGCAGGAGCCGCCATGACACCTACACCAGAGGACGCCATCACAACTTCACTTGTTTCTCACTGTCGTAAACGCCGCGAAATGTACTATATATTAATTTCACACAGCTCTTATTTTATAACCTTGAGGTTTCCCACAGTCAGTTTAAAGTATGAAGGAGAAATAGTTTTACTATTTAATTGTATGGGGTTGCTTTTATGAAAGTAAAGTAAGATAAAGTAGCGAGTAATATTGGCGGGGTTGATGGTGGAGGTGGTTTACGACAGTGGTTTTGCGGCGCTTCAGTAACCCTCGACCCAACATGGCGGACAGTGCTCCCTCACTCTCACTCCGCCTACCCAGAATCTGATTTACCCAACTTTTCCCGACAGTTTGGGTGAGAGATGTGTGTGATGTTGGGTGTTGTGTGTCAGGGAGTGTGTGAGGCGGGTGTGAGGGAACAAAACCCGCCATTACTGCCACAACAACACTAAAATACTTACCAGCTTCTCGGTGGTGCCTTCACCATCACCCTTCCTTTAATATTGCTAATTAACCGAAGTTACAGCCTCTGGAGGGACTGTACTGGATTCCATCACTCTCTCTGATTTTCACTGAGGGATTCTGTATTAATAAAAGGCTCCTCCCGGGGCCGCTATGGTAGATATTTGTGTTAAAATATAAGAATGTTCGTGGGGGTTAATTTATGTTGTGTTGCAGGAGCGGCCGAGGCAGCGGCGCCGCCACACATTGCTATACATATTTTTTCTAGTGTTTTTATTCCCCTACATTCGTTGCTGCATCAGATTTGATGTTTATTCATGGTCCTGAATGAGGGAATGAGGGCAGAGAGGTGTGGAAATGAAATTGCGGGTGAGAAATATGGCACCGCTGCCCCTGCCAGGTGATCCTCGCCCGGTCCTGCCTCTGGCATAACTTTCCACAAAAATATTGGTTTATTTCTCCTGTGTAGCTGCTAGTGTGTCGTGGGGGAGTGTATGTGTGGCAGGTGTGGATGGAAACAGGTGGACACAACCACACAACTATCCCTAATAATGTCTCGTGGAAGAAAAACATTTTCTCACACTCTTGCCACGATGTAATTATTAAAGTTCTGTTATTTAGTCCTAGTTACAGCTTTCCAGTGGCCAATGAGTTGGCTGTTTATTATAATAATTTTTATTATTACTCTCCTCCAACCCCTCAAGGGAGGTTCCTTGATGCTGCTGAGGGATCTGTGCTCCAATTCCCTAATACAACCCTGAATACCTTCCATATCCCCCTCCCCACAGGTGCTGTATAATCCTACGGGTTTAGCGCTCCTCTCTTGATTATGATAATACTCTCCTCCAAAATCTTGTATCAAGAGTAACACTAGTCCTACTGGCTCACTATGCAGGTGATCTTAATCCATCCATTACCATTCATTTGTCTAATATATTTTTACAGCTAACTAAAGTATTTACTTAATGATATTTGACAGTCTGTTCCACAGTTCACTTAATATTGGATTTAGGGGCAGTGTATAATTCCTTTATCTTCATTTTTATAATCTAAGCAGTTATCCATAACTTGACAAAGTTATTTCTTGTTTTAGACAACTGTCACTATGCTGACAGTTGATGAAAAGACAGTTACAGATACTCTGCTTGTTACAGGGTTCATACAGTTCTAATTTTTGAAAGTAGCATCTTCCATATGTAGTTATCAGAATGAGCAGTGTCCAGATAACAACCCTGCAGGAATGTTAACTTTGCATTATGTACAGTATGAGAGTTTTATACTGTACATAATGCAGAATTGATTGATTGTACCAACATAATAATTTCAACAAAACCAATTTTACTCCAGTTACATCTTATAAAATAAATACTGGACACACCACTTGCAGAGCCTATATATTTCTGCAAATGGTTAATAACTTCAATAAGGAATGTAATAAGTGTCAGAATAGTGAGGTGGTTGTGTGGGCCGTAGGCTACAGTAGCCTGTGCTCCAGTTCCCCGAATTAAGCCTGAATGCCTTTCACATCCCCCCCCCCCCAGGCGCTGTATAATCCTCCGGGTTTAGCGGTTCCCCCTTGATTATAATAATAATATTAGGGAAACAATAGGTCTAGCTCTGAATATACATATATGATATATTTTTATGTCTTAATAAAGTACAGTAAGTGACAGTACAGTATTTTGTCACTAGCAGATGATGGCTCTTACATAATGAAGGAGTTAGCTGAAAAGGATCAAATTGGGATTGACAGTGTACATTTGAACTACCAATTATGCAAGCTTTACATTCCTGAAGGTCTTGTAAATCTGTAATTCACTAAAATGTGTAATACAAAATTCTGTGTATAATTTTTTTATACTGACATTCATAAAAAAGAAAGAAAAGAGAATGGTGTATGAAATCCACATGGCATATAGTATTTTGAGTGAAATCGTGTGGTTGGCTTTTAATTTAGTTGTGTGGCAGTCCAGTCATTTGCCCCTTCCTTTCCACAAAAAAATGGAAATGAGGCTATTCACAAGATTCTTTACTAAAACCCTATACAGAGTAATCAAAATTTATGAATTTAAGGGTTCAACTATGAATACTCTAAACGTGTTATAAATTCCATACTTAAAATTAATATGAACTGTACAGTATACTGTACATTACTTAATTTTGTGTGTTATAATTTTACTGTATGATTTCAGAGTGTTAAGCAGACAGGTAGGACGTATACAACATGGAGGAACAGCAACTCATTGTATTTTCTCCAGATGGAGAAGAACTTACTCTTATGGATACTGAGTAAGTGTGTATCAGCACAGTATTGGTGATATTTGATGGAAGAATCTTCTTTGACATTAATGTGTGAGGTGAATATTATACAGAGAATAGGGAATTAAATTACATGTGGCAGTATGGAAGGTACTGTATAATTCAAAGGGTAGAAGAGGGATTGCTAAGACATGAAAAATGGAGGACTATTGTAAATAATGTTTTAGCAGAGATAACCCCAGGAGACAGCTTGTATGAAAATTTACATACACATGAGCTATTAAATTTTTTTTTTTAACAAGTTGGCCATCTCCCACTGAGGCAGGGTGACCTAAAAGGAAAGAAAATCCCCAAAGAGAAAATACTTTCATCATTCAACACTTTCACCTCACTCATACATAATCACTGTTTTTGCAGAGGTGCCCAGAACACAACAGTTTAGAAGCATATATGTATAAAGATACACAACACATCCCTCCAAACTGCCAACATCCCAAACCCCTCCTTTAAAGTGCAGGCATTGTACTTCCCATTTCCAGTACTCAAGTTCGGCTATATAAAAATAACTGGTTTCCCTGAATCCCCTTCCCTAAATATTACCCTGCTCATGTTCCAACAGCTCATCAGGTCCCAAATACCCTTCGTCTCCATTAACTCTACCTAACATGCTCACGCATGCTTGCTGGAAGTCCAAGTCCCTCGCCCACAAAACATCCTTTACCCTTCCCTCCAACATTTTCGAGGATGACCCCTACCCCGCCTTCCTTCCACTACAGATTTAAACACACTCCAGGTGATTCTACTTGGATTCATTCTCTCTAAATGACCAAACCACCTCAACAATCCCTCTTCAGCCCTCTTGACGAATAATTTTATTAACTCCACACCTTCTCCTAATTTCCACACTCCAAATTCTCTGCATAATATTCACACCACACATTGCCCTTAGACAGGATATCTTCACCACCTCCAACTGCCTCCTTGCTGCAGCATTTATAACCTAAGCTTCACACCCATATAAGAGTGTTGGTACCACTATACTTTCATACATTCCCTTCTTTGCCTCCATAGATAATGTTTTTTGTCACCACATATACCTCAATGCACCACTTGCCTTTTTTCCTTCATCAATTCTGTGGTTAACCTCATCCTTCATACATCCATCCGCTGACACGTCAGCTCCCAAATATCTGAAAACATTCACGTCTTCCATACTCCTCCTCTTCAATTTGATATCCAATTTTTCTTTACCTAAATCATTTGATGCCCTCATCACCTTACTCTTTTGTATGTTCACTTTCAACTTTTTACCATTATTCACACTCCCAAACTCATCCACTAACCTTTGCAGTATCATCAGCAAAAAGTAACTATGTCAATTCCCATTTTGTATTTGATCCCCCATAATTTAATCCTACCTCTCTCCTCAACACCCTAGCATTGACTTCTTTTACAACTCCATCTATAAATATATTAAACAACCATGGTGACATTACACATCCCTGTCTAAGACCCACCTTTATCAGGAAGTAGTCTCCCTCTCTTCTACACACCCTAACCTGATCCTCACTATCCTCGTAAAAACTCTTTACAGCATTTAGTAACTTACTTACCTATTCCATGTACTTGCAACATCTGCCACATTGCTCCCCCATTCACTCTATCATATGCCTTTTCTAAATCCACAAATGCAATGAAAACTTCCCTACCTTTATTTAAATACTGTTCACATATATGCTTCAATGTAAACACTTAATCTACACATCCCCTACCCACTCTAAAACCTCCTTGCTCATCTGCAATCCTACATTCTGTCTTGCCTCTTAATTCTTTCAATATTAACCCTACCATACACTTTTCCTTGTATACTCAGTAAACTTCTTTCAACGTACCAGTCGTATCCCACTGAGGTGGGGTGGCCCGAAAGGAAAAACGAAAGTTTCTCCTTTTAAATTTAGTAACATATACAGGACAAGGGGTTACTAGCCCCTTGCTCCCGGCATTTTAGTCGCCTCTTACGACATGCATGGCTTACGGAGGAAGAATTCTGTTCCACTTCTCCAAGGAGATAAGAGGAAATGAACAAGAACAAGAACTAGAAAGAAAATAGAAGAAAATCCAGAGGGGTATGTATATATGCTTGTACATGTATGTGAAAATTGTCAAAGTGGGAAGTCTGAATGTGCGTGGATGTTGTGCAAATGATAAGAAAGAGATGATTGTGGATGTTATGAATGAGAAGAAGCTGGATGTCCTGGCTTTAAGTGAAACAAAGCTGAAGGGGGTGGGAGAGTTTCAATGGAGAGGAATAAATGGGATTAGGTCAGGGGTTTCAAATAGAGTTAGAGCTAAAGAAGGAGTAGCAATAATGTTGAAGGATAAGCTATGGCAGGAAAAGAGGGACTATAAATGTATTAATTCAAGGATTATGTGGAGTAAAATAAAGATTGGATGTGAAAGATAAGATAAGATTTCGTTCGGATTTTTAACCCCGGAGGGTTAGCCACCCAGGATAACCCAAGAAAGTCAGTGCGTCTTCGAGGACTGTCTAACTTATTTCCATTGGGGTCCTTAATCTTGTCCCCCAGGATGCGACCCACACCAGTCGACTAACACTCGGGTACCTATTTGCTGCTAGGTGAACAGGACAACAGGTGTAAGGAAACGTGTCGAAATGTTTCCACCCGCCGGGAATCGAACCCGGGCCCTCCGTGTGTGAAGCGGGAGCTTTAGCCACCAGGCCACCGGTTATAGTAAGCGTGTATGCACCTGAAGAGAGAAGTGTAGAGGAGAGAGAGGGATTTTGGGAAATGTTGAGTGAATGCGTGGGGAGTTTTGAATCAAGTGTGAGAGTAATGGTGGTTGGGGATTTCAATGCTAAAGTGGGTAAAAATGTTACTGAGGGAGTAGTAGGTAAATTTGGGGTGCCAGGGGTAAATGTAAATGGGGAGCCTTTAATTGAGCTATGTGTAGAAAGAGATTTGGTAATAAGTAATACATACTTTATGAAAAAGAGGATAAATAAATATACAAGGTATGACATAGCACGTAATGAAAGTAGCTTGTTAGATTATGTATTGGTGGATTTTAAAAGGTTGATGGGTAGGCTCCAGGATGTACATGTTTATAGAGGGGCAACTGATATATCGGATCATTATTTAGTTGTAGCTACAGTTAGAGTAAGAGGTAGATGGGAAAAGAGGAAGGTGGCAACAACAAGTAAGAGGGAGGTGAAAGTGTATAAACTAAGGGAGGAGGAAGTTCGGGCGAGATATAAGCGACTATTGGCAGAAAGGTGGGCTAGTGCAAAGATGAGTAGTGGGGGGGTTGAAGAGGGTTGGAATAATTTTAAAAATGCAGTATTAGAATGTGGGGCAGAAGTTTGTGGTTATAGGAGGGGGGGGGGGGCAGGAGGAAAGAGGAGTGATTGGTGGAATGATGAAGTAAAGGGTGTGATGAAAGAGAAAAAGGTAGCTTATGAGAGGTTTTTACAAAGCAGAAGTGTTATAAGAAGAGCAGAGTATATGGAGAGTAAAAGAAAGGTGAAGAGAGTGGTGAGAGAGTGCAAAAGGAGTGCAGACGATAGAGTGGGAGAGGCACTGTCAAGAAATTTTAATGAAAATAAGAAAAATTTTTGGAGTGAGTTAAACAAGTTAAGAAAGCCTAGGGAAAGTATGGATTTGTCAGTTAAAAACAGAGTAGGGGAGTTAGTAGATGGGGAGATGGAGGTATTGGGTAGATGGCGAGAATATTTTGAGGAACTTTTATATGTTGACGAAGAAAGGGAGGCGGTAATTTCTTGCACTGGCCAGAGAGGTATACCATCTTTTAGGAGTGAAGAAGAGCAGAATGTAAGTGTGGAGGAGGTACGTGAGGCATTACGTAGAATGAAAGGGGGTAAAGCAGCTGGAACTGATGGGATCATGACAGAAATGTTAAAAGCAGGGGGGGATATAGTGTTGGAGTGGTTGGTACTTTTGTTTAATAAATGTATGAAAGAGGGGAAGGTACCTAGGGATTGGCAGAGAGCATGTATAGTCTCTTTATATAAAGGGAAAGGGGACAAAAGAAATTGTAAAAATTATAGAGGAATAAGTTTACTGAGTATACCAGGAAAAGTGTACGGTAGGGTGACAATTGAAAGAATTAGAGGTAAGACAGAATGTAGGATTGCAGATGAGCAAGGAGGTTTCAGAGTGGGTAGGGGATGTGTAGATCAAGTGTTTACATTGAAGCATATATGTGAACAGTATTTAAATAAAGGTAGGGAAGTTTTTATTGCATTTATGGATTTAGAAAAGGCATATGATAGAGTGGATAGAGGAGCAATGTGGCAGATGTTGCAAGTATATGGAATAGGTGGTAAGTTACTAAATGCTGTAAAGAGTTTTTATGAGGATAGTGAGGCTCGGGTTAGGGTGTGTAGAAGAGAGGGAGACTACTTCCCGGTAAAAGTAGGTCTTAGATAGGGATGTGTAATGTCACCATGGTTGTTTAATATATTTATAGATGGGGTTGTAAAAGAAGTAAATGCTAGGGTGTTCGGGGGAGGGGTGGGATTAAATTATGGCTAATCAAATTCAAAATGGGAATTGACACAGTTACTTTTTGCTGATGATACTGTGCTTATGGGAGATTCTAAAGAAAAATTGCAGAGGTTAGTTGATGAGTTTGGGAATGTGTTTAAAGATAGAAAGTTGAAAGTGAACATAGAAAAGAGTAATGTGATGAGGGTATCAAATGATTTAGAAAAAGAAAAATTGGATATGAAATTGGGGAGGAGTATGGAAGAAGTGAATGTTTTCAGATACAGTGGACCCCCGCATAACGATATTAATCCGTTCCTGAGAGCTCATTGTTATGCGAAATTATCGTTATGCGAATGAATTTTCCCCATAAGAAATAATGGAAATCAAATTAATCCGTGCAAGACGCCCAAAAGTATGAAAAAAATATTTTTACCACATGAAATATACATTTTCCTACACACAAAGAGAAGGATACATGCACAATAGTAGAGTAGTACATGC